GCCTCAGTATCTCTGTCCCCTTGCCCAGAGGCCTTCTGCAGCCTTGCCTGGGGTACTGAGTGCCCATCCCACCTCCCCCCACTGACCACTGCTCTGGGCCCCCGTGGATTCATCTGGGCAGTGGGAGTTGCTGGAGAGCTGAGCAGACACTGGGGCAGTGCCAGGCATAAATGAAGTCATTATGTATGTATGTATTTATTTAGTTAGAGACAGAGCCTCACTCTGTCACCCAGGCAGTGGCGCAGTCTCAGCTTACTGCAACCTCCATCTCCTGGGCTCAAGCAATTCTCCTGTCTCAGCGTCCCAAGTAGCTGGGACTACAGGTGCACACCACCACGCCTGGCTAATTTTTGTATTTTTAGTAGAGATGGGGTTTCACCGTATTTATCAGGTTGGTCTCAAACTCCTGACCTCCGGTGACCCACCCACCTCGGCCCCCCAGAGTGCTGGGATTACAGGCGTGAGCCACCATGCTCGGCCATAATTGAGTCTCTTCTGCCCCCAGGTAGGAAGAGGAGGGGCCTTCTGTCTGATAGCCAGCTGACATCAGACTTCCTGCAGGCAGGCCCCGGGACCACCCCTCACCCATCCAACCTCCACGAGCCAACTCTGCATCATTTCCCTGACTTTGTTCCCCTGCTGTGCCCGGAGCCTGTCTCAGCCACCTGCAGCCTCCCAGTAGGTGATGCAGCTGGTGTGTGGGAGGCCTATGGGGGCCTCAGGAAGGCGTCGAAAAGGATAGAGTAATTTTCAATTACTTTAACCTGCATATTTTACAAACAAGGTGAGAAATCATCTTGGCTTTTTCCCCGTGTATGGGAGTCCTGGGCTGGGCATCAGGATCAGATGGAGCAGGGGTGCCCAGCAATGAGACAGTTGGAAGGCAGGGGCTTGGCATCCCCAGTGTGGAGATACAGCACCCCTATTGCCTACCCCTTTCTCCCCTCTGGACCCACCCCTTCCTCCCTTTCTCAAGGAGAGGCCTTGTCATTCTTTATTCTTTTTTTAATCTTTTGAGATGGGGTCTTGCTCTGTTGCCCAGGCTGGAGTGCAGGGGCGTGATCATAGCTCACTGCAGCCTCCAATTGCTGGTCTCAAGCAATCCTCCTACCTCAGCCTCCTAAAGCACTGGGATTACAGGCCTTACACCACCATGCCCAGCTAATTTTTAAAATCTATTTTTTTTGTAGAGGTGAGGCTCTTGCTGTATTGCCCAGGCTTGTCTCAAACTCTTGGCCTCAAGCACTCTTCCTGCCTCAGCCTCCCAAAGTGTTGGGATTACAGGTATGAACCAGGTGCCATCCAGTCTGTTATGCTTTTTTTTTTTTTTTTTTTTTTTTAAAAAAAAGCAGAGACTCACTCTGTCACCCAGGCTGGAGTGCAATGGCTCTGTCTCGGCTCATGGCAACCTCTACCTCCCAGGTTAAAGTGATTCTCCTGCCTCAGTCTCCTGAGTAACTAGGATTACAGGTGTGTGCCACCACACCAGGCTAATTTTTGTATTTTTAGTAGAGATGGAGTTTCACCGTGTTGGCCAGGCTGGTCTCAACTCCTGACCTCATGATCCACCCATCTCGGCCTCCCAAAGTGCTGGGATTACAGGCGTGAGCCACTGCGCCCAGCCTGTCATGCTTTATAAATCAATGCTTACATCATCTCATTAAACCCTAAGAATGTCATTGGGAGGGAGGTGTGGTTATTAATTCTATTTCACAGATGAAGAAATGGGCTCAGGAAGGCAACATCACCTTCCTAGAGTCACACAGATAAGAAGTGGTAGAACTGAGACCTGAATCCTGAGTATTGACCCCAGAAAATCCATTCCTGAGTGCCATACACTCTGATGTATCCATAAAGCACAGGAAGTTACCAGGGAGATAGAGTTGAAAATAACATCAGCAGTTACAGCAGAAACAACGGTAATAATAGCTGCCACTATAGAGCTGTGGCCAAACCCCAAGCACATTATTAAGTGCTTTAGAGTTTCATCTTGACTCTACAGACAGGCAATAGTGATCCTCATATGCAGCGAGAGAAACTGAGGCCCAGAGAGCTGAAGCAAATTGTCCCAAGTGCCACAGCTCTTAAGTGATGGGACCAGGACTCACATTCAGGTCCGTCTCCAAAGCCTGTTTCTCTGTATTCATCAGCTGTTGATGCTGTGGTCGGCCGACCTAATGCCACTGCTGGTGTGGGCAGTGACTTCGTTTATTGAGCATCTACTATAGTCTAGGCACCAGGCCACAAGCTGTCCATGCCT